TTTTTTTTCCCCAAAGAAGCTACTTATTTAGTATTGTTTCAGAGACATATTTATAGCAAGTGATTACATTCTCCCTCACTGAACACAGGGAAGATAAAACAACACAGCTCATTATTTTCATTTTATTAAAATTTGCTAATTACTATACTTACCTTTATTTCTTCTATGTCTGCTGTTTGGAGTTTCTCTCTGAAATGTTTGTTTGTCTCCAAAACCTCTATCACTTGCCTGAGATAGACATCATAATACAATCCAGTGTCCTTTAAGATATATATATATACATATATAATTACCATTAGATTAATAAAATAGAGGCAGAGATGAGAAATGTTCGTTTATCTATGAAAATATTATTATAACTACAGTAGGTGTTCTTATCCCTGCAGATTTTCCAACATCCAAACATAATCTTTTGTTGTTCAGTGCAGAAGATGTAGCAAATTCACACAGCAAGAATTAATTTTAAATACACACACATCCTATGAATTTAATTCAATTTGAAGTGCCACGTTTTGGATTCTACTGGCACCTAGAAAGAAGAAAATATTTTTCTCTTTTCTCTCTGAAATTATAATGGAGACTTCCCCAAGCTAATGCTAACCTTTCCAGGTTTGAGGAACTGGTCTTGCAGTTCCAGTTCCAAACACTTTTAAAGATTGCCAGATTGCTTTGAATCTTTTGAGCCAGCCTTCCTTCAGAAGCAAGTCACGTTTGGCAAGTTCTTATTCAATGCATTAACTCTTTCTTAAAATGTTTCTGCCAACAGAAAACAAAGGCCTGCTTCTCCTAATCAGGTCATCTTTGTTTAGAAAATAATTACAGTCTCTTCCACTTTGCAAAAAGATCTGTAAGTTTAAACCAAACTACTGTATGTTATTTTTTCCCAGACCAAGCCAATCTCCCTGTAAAAATTTCAGGATCAGAAGTCAAGATGAGAGGAATTTGACCAATTTTATCTCTAAAACCCAAAATCAAGGATCCTCTGGCTTAGATCAAAAAAAGATTACAGCCTGTCAAGCTCCATCCTAAACTACAGATAGATAGATAGATAGATAGATAGATAGATAGATAGATAGATAGATAGATAGATAGATAGATAGATAGATAGATAGATAGATAGATAGATAGATAGACAGACAGACAGACAGACAGACAGACAGACAACCTTTATTGTCATTTTTTCCTGTGGGCACAATGGCACACATTAAAAATGAAATTAACTTCAGTGGGTCTAGTGTGTCATAGTCACTCTTTGCTGCTACCCCAATTTTTTTTAACTGTAAAATTAAATGCTGTATATTATTTATATGAATAATATTGAATTAATGTGGGGCACTTTTATGTAACTTAACTGCAGGAGTAGATCCTTCTGTTCGAATGTTATAACTGAAAATTGATTTTTCCAGCCTTTTGAAAAAAATAACATTTGAAAAAAATATGGACATTTTTAAGGAAAGAAACTGCTTTGATCTTCCTAGTTGCCTTGATTTTCATCTCCGATAATATTCACTGAAAAATAGAAGCAATAGGGCTGACAATTTACAGGTGACACTGTAATCCTAGCTGTCATGTGAATTTGCATCTCTATCAAATGGCATAATTTAATAAGCTTGGGTCAAATTTTATTTATTTTAATCGACAGTTTTTTTTAAAAAAATATCCTGCAATGTCTAATTGTTGCAGTGTTGACTTGGATGAGGGAGAACCAAGATTCAAAGTCTATTCAACCATGAAACTCCATGCTAACCCTGGGCCAGTGACTTTTGCTGTAGACATACCTACCTCACTAAGTTCTATCTATGCTGCCTTGTCTCTTCAGAGTGAAAGCATGCTAGAAATAAAATAAATATGTTATATTAATTGGTACAGAATGAGGACATATTGGGGTGGGAGGCAATTAACCAGAGTAGGTCAGGAACTTAATCTTTTTTTTTTTTAATTGAAAAGTTTTTTAAAAAAATTTACAACATATGTCCCCCCTCCCTCCCCCTCTCCCCTCCCCCCCCCACTTCCCAGAGCTGATTACAGGGTACAAATAAACAATAACATACCATAATCTAAATAACATTACCCAACTATACTAGCAATTAAATCCATAACATACTTTAACTCCCTTTCAAAATAAGTATTAACCAATTAACAACAGATATAATAATATACCTAATTAACAACCAGAATAATAATATAATTAAACCATAAAATTCAAAATAATAATCAACCCTATTAAACTAATAATAATAATCTTATAATAATATAATTAAACCATAAAAATTCAAAATAGTATACAACCCTATTAAACTACTAATAATGATCTTAAATTCACTCATAAACTAAATAATACTTTTCA